AGCTTCAAAAATTATCACCTCATGCTCAATTTACCTCTAAGCCACTGCTGTCTCCTCCCCTGATTATTTTGAAGCAATTCCAGATATCAAATAAGTTATTCATAAATGTTCAGAAAGTGAGGTCTTCTTTTAATCTCATTAGTTAACAGGCTCAGAGAGATGAAGTCACTAAACTAGTTAGTGTGTGTTATTTTTAATCGCTAGACTACAAAAGCAAAGGTCAAAAATATAATAACAGAGAATATTGAACTTTTAATAGTACAGTTAAACAGTATATATGAGATGTGAATTGTGAAATCATGTCTAACATCTGGTCTGTTCCATGATCATGGTCACATTTTGGACAATAGTTACAGGTGGAATATGAGATTCCCCTGCACAAGAAACTTCACATGTAGACTGTCATTTCAACCGGTTATAAATTTGTCATCAGTACATTTAAAAACTTATTTTTCATTTGTATCAATACTTTATCTAATGATTTCCAGAAATTAATGCTCACTCTAAAAATCAAAAACCCGCTTCGTGTTGTTTAGCCTATGATCACCTCTTTTAAGCCCCCCATTCAGAAAATTGGCAAGTTTTCCAAAGAGTTCACAGGGTGTGAGGACTGCTGGTTCATGTTCCCTTTCATTGGTAATTTTAAAACCAAATCCTTGTGGATTTTGAAATTGCAAATAAATTTGTTCAAGTTAGTGTTCTTTTCAGCTATTTAGTAATAAACTGGATCTAAGACTCTTCCTACACTTTATTATTTCACACCTTCAGCCTGTTCTATTTTTTAAGTTTACTTATTAATTTTTTAAATTTATCTTTATTGTTGAAAGTATTACAGATGTCCCCTTTGGGGTTTTTTTTGTTTCTTTATCCCCATTGATCCCCTCTCCCCTGCATCCACTTTTTCCAAGCCTTCACCACACTATTGTCTGTGTCCATGGGCTATGCATATATGCATATACATTCCCCAGTTAATCTCCCACCCCCACCCCCACCTCCCTCTGAAATTCCTGTTCTATTTTCATAGAAGGAGGTTAGTTGATGTTCATTGATCAATGGCTCAAATAAGAGATATCATAGCAGCTTAAAACCCAGAAGCACCATTGTTTGGGCTGGTCAGAATGTTCCAGAAGTTTTTAGGGCAAAGGAAAAATTCCTAGCGTTTTTATTTATGAAAATGCATAAAATGTTGATTTGGCTGTCATAGTGCCCAAATTGTATCTCAAAAAGTTACCGAGTGCATGTGACATCCATCGCTGTGAGGACTGGGCCACAAAGCCCGCCTTCCTGGATGAGCATTTGGTGAGGAGATAATTGGGGATTTTTTAAAAAGCTGCAAAAAATACCTAAATAAATAACACTTTAGAAGGCAGACATAAGACATTTTTCTGTACACAACTCCCACTCGTTTCTTTGAGAGATAAAGCAGCATAAATTGACAATCTGTCAGTTTAACCATTTTCATTGTGTACTTTTTCTGGGCAGGTTATTCACATCGAACTCCTTTGATGTGATCAGTGATGATGCTTTTATTGGTCTTCCACATTTAGAGTATTTGTAAGTAAAAACAACAAAAACATTTTTTAACATAATGATTCAGGACAAGTGCTCTCAGATTTTTACAGCTGTCTGACAAAAATGTTATAACCTATTGCAGATTCATAGAAAACAACAACATCAAGTCCATTTCAAGACATACTTTCCGGGGACTAAAGTCATTAATTCACCTGTAAGTATGAAAGTTGCTATTACTTCTTAAGTTTGCTAATAACCTGTGGTTAAAGTGAGCACCTTGTGGGTATCCACGAACATTTAAGAAACCCAAACAATTTCTCTCCATGCACATTTGTATCTCTTCATGCACACTTGAATTAGCCAGTATGTGTCCAGGAAATTCACTGCTATTAATATGACGAGTCTAAACCAACCATATTTAGGAAAACAATCTAATGCAGAGCAATTGTGTGACTAAAATAACTTTCTTATTATCTAAATCATTATTCACTTCATGGATAATTATGGGTTGATTGTATAGCTTAATTTGATATTTTGCTGATTTCTTTTTCTGTATATGCCCTGACTTTATATATATTTAAACATATATTATAACCACAGGCAAAGTGTACACAGTACCTGGGACTTCCACTCTCAACCTGCACTGGCTCAGGCTCTCCGCACTCGTGTGGAAACAGCCTGGAGAGGTGGGACACCGGTTGTTTCTCCTGGCCTCTCTGCCCCCTTACACACACACACACACACACACACACACACACACACACACACACACTCACATACACACAGATGTAATCTTCAGAAAACTAGAAGGGCATGGGAAGAAAAGACATTAACATTTATAAGTGACTACTATTATACTGGCCATTATGCTTTACATCCTAGTGCACACACTAGGATATAGGCTCAAAGGGCAGGCGTTGTGTCTGCTTTGTTCCCTGCTGCACCTGGGCCTAGAGCAGAGCTGGGAATAAAGAAGGAAGGGAGGGAAAGGAAGAAAAAGAGGGAGAGGAGGGGGAGGATACAGAAGGGAGGGAATAAGAGGGAAGAAAGGAGGAAAGAAAAAAAATCTGTACACACCATAGTGAAGAACATCTATTTGTTTGACAAGAGCCTATTATATCTATCAACTGAAATGGAAATTTAAATTTGGCTCATAATGATGCCTCTTCTGTAGAGGTATGAAGACCATAAGAAAGGGACATTAGTACAGCATGTACTTGATATTTAGACATTGTTAAGTTCAAGAGAACACCAAAGGCAGCCTTAAAAGAGAGGCATGAATCTTAAGGGTCAAACAGACAGTTCAAGGGAAATCCCACCTCTCTGGCCAGGTCCTGGATATGGGAAAGAATCATTTATGTGGACTAGTTAAAACTGACTGAGTGAATATAACCCTTAGATCTCTTGTATCTTTATCTAACACTGGGGGTTGACTCATATGGCACTGCCAATATTAGACTGTTTTTGTCTATAAAAATGGCAATGCCATATGATTCATCCTAAATAGTCTCTAGGATGTGCCACACAAAGATGAATAAGATCCAGTTCCAACCTGGAGGAGCTCAGTCTAACAAGAGGAATTGGACAAACAAATATGTTCTCTCTGGTGCCTTTGCCCCCGAGCTATTTATTTCTGCTCTTTTCTTATTCTCTCCTTCCTCCCCTCTCTCCTTCCTTCCCCTCTTCCTTCTTTTCTTTTCTTCCATTTTTTCCTTTCAAGGAGAGATGATGGGTAGAGAGGATTTGAAACCCAAATGTTCCTCTGACTGCTCAGTACATCAAGTTCATTTTCCATTAATTACCACTTATAAATAAATCTGACATTTGTTTGAGCCATTAACTTCCTTTTTTAAGATTTTAGGTTTCAGAGTGCACTTTTCTCCACCTAAGACTAATTCTTCCCAAAGGCAGATACTCAAGCAGTGAGGAACAATCGCCTCGCCCTCTAACCTGCACATGCTGCAGGAAGAGTTCACAAAGCTTTTTCATATTCTTGACCTCATATAGTTTCCTGATGGCCTTAAGAAAGAGACAGAACAGTAGCACTGCCCCTGTTGACAAATAAGAGCATGACGACACACTCTGAGCTTAAGGAGCTCCCACTTTAGTAAGCAGTAAAGCCAAAGTTTCCCAAGGTCTTCACTGAGCCACCCCGTACCCTCTTCGCCATGTCAGTTGTAGCAGGACCAGAAAGCTTTCGAGCTAGTGGGGTCCTTCCATGGCACATGATTTGAGGAGCAACCATGGCTATGGAAGAAAGATAAGATCCTGAAGACAGAGGCCTACCCTCACTCTTAATTTTCAAAAGCATATAGTTGGGATTACACATATATTTTGGATCCAAGTAGTTCCCATTCTAGCCTAACATTAAAACTGCTCTGAGGGACCTATCTGAGCATTTATATAAGTTCAGTTCGCTCCTAAAAAAGCAATGAACTAAAAAAAAAGCAATGAACTTATCTCACCTTCTTATACATGTCTCAATAGACTTATCTTCTAAAGAGACATTTATAGACAACTTAAAAATTACTCTATGAACCCCTGCCTCCCAAGCTAGCCCTTAAAAAGGGGAGAGTTTTCTTATATTTAAGTCCTTACAAAGCAAGTCAAATCCTGGGACCCTCTCTCAATTATTTTATTTTAGATACTGTCCTAATGTTATATATGATTAACTTAAATGTTTGAATAGTTTATATATTTCAGTAAGGTTTGAATTTTTCTGATGACTGTGTATTACTTTTGAAATCAGGAAAAAAATAATTAAAAAATAGTTGATGGCCAATGATGACAAAATCTCTCAACATTAACTGGTTTCTGTTTATACCCATGAGTCTTTTAGTAATGATCCCCCTGGGCATCCCATAAGTGTCACCATGACTAAGGCTCAATGGAGGCGGGATATTTGCATACATTTGGGAAAAATTGTCATCAACCTATACATGCTGTGAAGCACCTCCTGGTTGCTCAGCACTGTGGGAGTACAAAACCCATTAACAGAAGCCCCCAAACTAAGGTGCCTGTGTGTTCCCAGTCAGGCAGCAGGTCTTCATTTCAGTTTCACAAGGACATGCATGTAGAGAGGCAGTGAGATGTCGTGGCTAAGAGGGTGATCTGTGCACCAGACTGCCTGGGTGCAAAGCCTGGTGTTACCAGCTGGAGGACATCAGAGGTCACTTAGCCTCATTGTGCCTCACATTTCTTATGTGTGAAATGAGGGTGATAATAATCATCTGTAAGAATGGGGGCTGGGATAATAATGTACTTAGGAGTACCTAGGTCCTACGGTTGTTATGAGAGTGAGTTAATTTTTGCAAAGTGCTTAGAGCAGAGCCTGGTATGCAGTAAACTCACTGCCTAACCTCTCTATTGGTCCTCGATCAGGATTCCAAATGCTGCAGTGTATTTATGCCCTTTAAACATTTTGTATGCAATTAAAATAGCTGCACTTTTGAAGCACCACAAATTCAGTGAGACACCAACTCAAATGGAGGATCTGCACTGCGAGGAGTCTGGGAGCACCCAGATGGCCGTGGGCGATGCTTTCTTAGCAGCAGAGCCCAGTGGAACTGAAACAAACGTGCTGTGTGAGCCAGTCTGGTCTGCTTTAGAGAGAAGACTTCCCAGTGGTTTCCACAGTCGGGAGGGCACTTTTGGGTCCATATGACATGAGGGTGGGTGACCATGGTAATTCACAGAGCTCTGCACTTTCTCCTTAGCTCAGTGCCTTGGTACAAGGGGCCTCTGCTCTTTTCTTTGTCTAGATTGGGGCCCTTCCTTTCCTCCTCTCCAACCTGCCCCATTCATTCATTTATTTCAGTATTTATTGAGGGCTTACTTTGTGCCAGGCACTGGGGAGGCAGTGGTAAGAGTCCTTCCAGTAACACTACATAATCATCCTTAAAAAAATTAACATTGATAAAATGTTTCTCAAACTTCTCATTGCTTTATCTTCACTCCTCTCCTAATCAGTCCTATTGTCCACCCACTTCAGATATTCCAGTGCACTCCTGCCCTCTATAAAAACCCGTGGTCAGACTCTCTGACTCTTATCTATGGAGCTTAAAGTATTAACTTTCTGAGTATCATTTTATTATTATTAAAGATGAAGCCATATGCTTCCCACAGTGAAAAGTACTATAAAGATGTGATTTTAGAACTAAAATAGAGCCTGGAGACCATTCTGACCAAGTGATCATTCCCTTTGTAGAAAGGGAAACAGCCAGAGCTCAAACCCAGATATGTGATTCCGGGCCCCCTACTGTTTGCACCATACTCTGCTGCTGAGTCCAGGGAACCCTGAAGTCAGGCTGACAGGCAGTGGGTCAGCTTGGGCAGTAGCATCGTTTCCTTCCATCATACCATGTAGAAAGTCTTTTTCCCATCAACTCTCGTAGCTACCTCTATGTCCTTGCCTCTCCCTCGGTATTTTAAGTTTTCTTCCTCTTATTGCTGACAGAACTCATATTCAGTTTTAATATCCAGCCCTGATGGGAACCTTGCCCAGCAAAAAGACTTACAGAGGAAGGAGCTCTTCCCCACCAATCCAGGATTCCACTAGAGGAGACAGAAGAAGATCTTAAGACTTGGGGAGTACTAGCCTGGCTCTCTGGACACACTTGTTTTCCACATTAATGCCCCCATGAGATGGGCTTTGTATTAATGATTAAAACAAAATATGACAAAATCTTCACAGGGGTTGCCTCTGCCAGAATCATTATTTTTTTTCTCCTTTAAAAATTTTTTCTTGAACTTTCCAAATTTTATTGAAGTGAAGAATAATAATAGCAATTACATGTTTGTGTATATATATATATGTACATGTGGTATGTTACACATAGATATAACATAGATATCAGTAAAAGATGGGACATTTAAGAATACAAGGCATAGAGTTCTTTCTACTCAAAAAAGACAGAAAGGTGATCTCATCCTCCTGAGTTGAGCATTTAAAAGTGCTTAGATATTAAATATTACTGGTTTTGACATCAACCACAATGAAAAAGATTGATTTTGTGGTCTTGACATCTGACATAGGCATAAAAATTCAGCTGCAGACCCCTAGCCGTTTTGGCTCAGAAGATAGAGCATCAACCTGCAGACTGAAAGGTCTTGATTCTGGTCAAGGGCATGTATCTCTTTTGCAGGCTCAACAACTGGCCTCCAGTTGGGGTGCCTGTGGGAGGCAAGCAATTGATGTGTCTCTCTCACATCGATGTTTCTCTCTCCCTGTCTCTCCCTTTCCGTCTACTCTCTCTAAAAATCAATAGAAAATTATCCTCGGATGAGGATTAACAAAACAAAAAAATATTTATCTGCAGATAAAAATTTTTCTGGAAACCATTTCAAAGTATGTGTATAAAAATATTTGTAGCTACAGGTGTTAATTTTCACAATAAATGAAATAGGTTTTCTTTGCTCAGTTTTGCAGATGTCAAGACAGAAACCCAGAAAAGTTAAATTAAGTTGTCTAAAGACACCCTCCTGAAAGTGATGAAGCTAAAATTTAATCCCTTGTCTACTTGAGACCCAACTACTACACTGCTCTAAATGATGCAAATAAAATAAAATAAAATAAAATAAAAGCTACAACCAGTTTTACAAAAGATACAGACATATTTCAACCAGAGCTTCCACTGAGGAAAAGGGAATAATAATAATATTAAATTGTTACTCTGTGAAAAGGAGGGCAGATGAAGGGACAGAGGAAACTGAGGAAATTTAATGAATTTGATTTTCCATTTTGCTTTCCAGTGGCAAAACTCAATGTAGAGATGGGATCTGAATAATCAAATAATGCTAACATCAACCCCCAAAATAACACTATTGCTAACCCCAGAAATGCTGTCTCAATATCTCCAGTTGTTGATATAACCAAATAGGCACCAGATCTCATTCTATTCCCCGCCCCCCCCTTTTTTTTTGCATAAGTTAGCATCACAGGATTTACCTCTTTTTCTTCCTGATAGCCCTGGCCCAGAGTCCTCAGCAGCTCTCCCTGCAAAGAATCTCTCTTAAACCCCCACATGCCTTTGATGTTTTTTGGTGGCTCCAGACCTTCCTGAAGGCTGACTTTGAACTGGCACCAGGAACCCACAGGAATGGTTCCAAGCCTGGCCTGACTGTAGTCCTAAACTTCCCCAGATATGAGGGCCTTTAAGCCATGTGGGAATCATGGTAAAGAAGGCAGCTCCAATTATGATAAGCGAAATAAG